GGTTGAATCAGAAGTATATAATTCACTGCTCCTCCTAGTATAATATAAAAATTACAATAATATATTATTATTATTTCAGCCCTTTTTACAAAATTTTATCACACGCACATTTGGAACTTATAAAGCTGCGAACGCAGTAAAGTCTGTTCATATTTATTTGACTTTAGTCTCTATTTTATAACTGTCAAATTTATTTTGTTTATTGGCCCTATTGAATTAATTAAAGCATTTCAATATAGAAATTCAAATTCTTTAAAAATATTGTTAAATGCAACGCCTTATTTCTAATTCACTTAGTAAGCGGAAGTTGTATATTATTGTTGCGATATTGCTGCATTATATTCAATCTCTACTATTTCAATCATTACTTAAATTGGCTTAAACCTTTGTTAATTTATCTTGGTGCTAACTGGTGCTTATGAAATAGAATTTTCTTCGAGCTAAATGATTATGTTTAATTTCATAAAAAATTGTCAGTATATATCCTATTGCACAAGTATTTAGTCAATGATATTATTTCGCATGATCATACATCTTTTTCATAAGCTTGCAGAGGAATTAGGGTGACCAACAATAAGAGAATATGAGAAAGGCTTGGATGAGTTCTGAATAAATTAATTGGAGGGTTAACTTATTGAATTATTCTGAGATGAAAAGTGATTTTCTAAATCTAAACAGCGATCATCGGATGATTTATTTTAGGAACTGACAATCTAAAGTAACTTTCAAAGTAAAATATTTCAAAGGATAAGATGAAAAGCCAGATGGTGTTCTTTAATCAGCTAAGGAGTAATCAGTGAGATTGGTAGTTAAATTTCTCCAGTTTACTCGGTTTAATTAGAATAAAATTATAGAGGAATAAATTTTGAACTATTATTCATTGTTTTAATAGTATAGGCTTCTTTTCTTCTCATAAATTTTTAAAATAAAATTTAAATGCTGGCTAAATCAATTTATAATTAATGAATAATATTACATCTAATTTAAATACTCTATTAGAATAGTTGACAAATCTACGCCATTTAGCTAAAATAGTCAATGATTAGCAAATCGAATCAATTCTAAAAGATTCAACATATTGGCTTGTAGCAATTGAAAATATGCTTAGCAAAGATTGAACTATTTGGATAAAAATGGAATATGATGAAGAAATCATAATTAATGAGATGGAAAAATAAAAAGATGAATAATGAAAGATTTAAGAAATCTATATATACCACTACTTCATAAATTTCAGGTATTGATGAAAAACAACTAAGATATTGCTTAAGGTCTTTTAAAATTAATAGAATTCATATAAAAATGAAAATATATAAATTAAAAATCAATTTATCTAGTTGTAAAGAATCCTTTGTTATCTTAAAAATAATTGCACTTAACTCGTTTGCAGATTTTATATGATTAATCTGTATTTTCATAACATTTAAATATTTAAGGATATAAAATGATTTAAAATTACTAACATTATAAATATTGAGTTAAATGAATGTAAATTAAAGAATGACACTTTCTGGTGATTTTAGTTCTACAAAGCCCTGTACCTGACCTTTATGGTCTACTGAAAGATCGAAAAACTTTTAAAAGAATGATTAATTTTTGGAAATAAATCTATGGAAGAATATTTTACACCATGCTATAATAAACTAAAATTAGAGCTCCATTTCACTCTTTAATAATACAAAAAATTAATACTTCAGTATAGACCAACTAGTGGCAGTAACCTAATGCAAAAATTTTTATAATACCAAGATTTCCTAAACTTATAAAAAGCATACAAAAAATAGTACTTTTAAAAAAGTCAACATGATCATCTAAAAGCAGAATAAAAATGAAAACTCTTAATTATAAGGCTTCGAAAACTGAATTTCCATATTAAATCTGAAAAGGGAATTTTTAAACTATTGAAAAAAATAACAATACTGTACAACAATAAAGGGAAGGAGGTATATTTTATTGTTTTCAAAGATGGTGATTAAAATATATGTGTTGAGTAGGTGGCATAAACTAATTGGTTCCTGTATTTGGATTATTTTTCAAGTTTAAATTAAGTTTAACCATTGCCAACCCCCCTCTAGGCAAATGAATAAAGAATACATGCAAATAATTAATTCATTTGATAAAACAAGCTCTTACAAATATATTCCACATTAGTTCATTAAAGTTTTTGTGTGGAATAATTTAGGTTTTTATGGAATGAAAAGACATTTAAATGTAATAACAAATTTGGATGGGCAGGATAAAAATACCCATATATTTCCAAATAAAGGTAATTCGTCCTCTAGGTCTTCTGGGCCCATAATATAAATTTATGGAATTGTGTTTTTATGACTCATTATCAAAATTTTTGTTAGAATAGAATTCTGAAAGAGTAATTTGATTTTTAAGGGGAATGGAACCTAAATAAACTTTCTGTTAATGTTTGATAAAACCTATGAAGCCAGAAACTCAATAAGTAATAGTATTATATATTAATTTTTTCTAATGCATACTATACGATAAATTATTATCAGAGAAACAAAAAACAAATAAGTATATAAAAAAAGTAAACCACCAAAAATATATAATTTCGCAATCTACAAATACTCAAATAAATTAAGATATTGTAAAGGATTACTCAAATTTAATAAAAATATTTATATGATAAATATATTAATTCATTGAGATTGAAAAGATAAAGAATAAAAAATTTCTAATGATTCTTAAAATCTATTCAACTTTGTTAAAGTATTTGCTAAGAAAGTATCTATACTTAATTATACCTTTAAAAAAATAATAGTCGCTAACTTTTTAATTTATATAAATTGCTTAATCATAATTCTCTAAAGCTTCTTCAAATCTGTTCATTTTATCTAATGTAATTGCTAAAAAATCACTCTGATTGCATTATACCTTTGTTAAAATAATACTTAGAATTTTCTGGATTTCTCTAAATTGCCGTATCATAATTTTCCAAAGCTTCTTCAAATCTACTCATTTTCTTTAATGTAATAGCTAAAAGATAAATCTAATTATAGTATACCTTTGTTATTATGATAGCTTGAATCTTCTGGACATTTCTAAATTGCTGAATCATAATTTTCTAACGCTTCTTCAAATCTGTTCATTTTATCTAATGTAATTGCTAAAAAATCGCTCAGATTGTATTATACCTTTGTTAAAATATATGTCAGAATCTTCTGGATTTCTCTAAATTGCTGAGTTATAATTTTCCAAAGCTTCTTCAAATCTGTTCATATTCTTTAATGTAACAGCTAAAAAATCACTCTGTATAATACCTTTGCCATTGTAGTAGTATGAATCTTCTGGATTTTTCTAAATAGCTGAATTATAATTTTCCAAGGCTTCTTCAAATCTGTTCATTTTATCTAATGTATCAGCTAAAAAATCATTCCGATTGTATTATACCTTTATTAAAATAGTACTTAGAATTTTCTGGATTTTTCTAAATAGCTGAATCATAATTTTCCAAAGCTTCTTCAAATCTATTCATTCTATCAAATGTAATTGCTATGAAATCACTTTGATTTTATTATACCTTTGTTAAAATAATAATCAGAATTTTTTGAGTTTTTCTAAATTGCAGAATCATAATATTCCAATGCTTCTTCAAATCTGTTCATTTTCTTTAATGTAATAGCTAAGAAATCACTCCAATTTTATAGTACCTTTGCCATTATAATACCTCGAATCTTCTGGATCCTTCTAAAGAGCTGAATCATAATTTTGCAAAGCTTCCTCCAATCTGTTCATTTTATATAGCGTGGCAGCTAAAAAACTTCTTAAATTATTATATACCTTTATTAAAATAATACTTAGAATTTTCTGGGTTATTTTAAATAGCTGAATTATAATTTTACAAAGCTTCTTCAAATCTGTTCATTTTATCTAATGTAATTGCTAAGATATCACTCTAATTGTAAATATACCTTTATCATTGTAATACCTTGAATTTTTTGGATTTTTCTAAAGGGCTGAATCATAATTTTCCAAAGCTTCTTCAAATCTATTCATTTTATCTAATGTATCAGCTAAAAAATCACTCTGATTGTATTATACCTTTGCTATTGTAATACCTTGAATCTTCTGGATTCTTCTTAATTGCTAAATCGTAATTTTCCAAAGCTTTTTTAAATCGGTTCATTTTATCTAATGTAATTGCTAAAAAATCACTCTGATTTTTATTATACCTTTGTTAAAATATAAGTCAGAATTTTCTGGATTTCTCTAAATTGCTGAGTTATAATTTTCCAAAGCTTCTTCAAATCTGTTCATATTCTTTAATGTAACAGCTAAAAAATCACTTTGTATAATACCTTTGCCATTGTAGTAGTATGAATCTTCTGGATTTTTCTAAATAGCTGAATTATAATTTTCCAAGGCTTCTTCAAATCTGTTCATATTATTTAATGTATCAGCTAAAAAATCATTCCGATTGTATTATACCTTTATTAAAATAGTACTTAGAATTTTCTGGATTTTTCTAAATAGCTGAATCATAATTTTCCAAAGCTTCTTCAAATCTATTCATTCTATCAAATGTAATTGCTATGAAATCACTTTGATTTTATTATACCTTTGTTAAAATAATAATCAGAATTTTTTGAGTTTTTCTAAATTGCAGAATCATAATATTCCAATGCTTCTTCAAATCTGTTCATTTTCTTTAATGTAATAGCTAAGAAATCACTCCAATTTTATAGTACCTTTGCCATTATAATACCTCGAATCTTCTGGATCCTTCTAAAGAGCTGAATCATAATTTTGCAAAGCTTCCTCCAATCTGTTCATTTTATATAGCGTGGCAGCTAAAAAACTTCTTAAATTATTATATACCTTTATTAAAATAATACTTAGAATTTTCTGGGTTATTTTAAATAGCTGAATTATAATTTTACAAAGCTTCTTCAAATCTGTTCATTTTATCTAATGTAATTGCTAAGATATCACTCTAATTGTAAATATACCTTTATCATTGTAATACCTTGAATTTTTTGGATTTTTCTAAAGGGCTGAATCATAATTTTCCAAAGCTTCTTCAAATCTATTCATTTTATCTAATGTATCAGCTAAAAAATCACTCTGATTGTATTATACCTTTGCTATTGTAATACCTTGAATCTTCTGGATTCTTCTTAATTGCTAAATCGTAATTTTCCAAAGCTTTTTTAAATCGGTTCATTTTATCTAATGTAATTGCTAAAAAATCACTCTGATTTTTATTATACCTTTGTTAAAATATAAGTCAGAATTTTCTGGATTTCTCTAAATTGCTGAGTTATAATTTTCCAAAGCTTCTTCAAATCTGTTCATATTCTTTAATGTAACAGCTAAAAAATCACTTTGTATAATACCTTTGCCATTGTAGTAGTATGAATCTTCTGGATTTTTCTAAATAGCTGAATTATAATTTTCCAAGGCTTCTTCAAATCTGTTCATTTTATCTAATGTATCAGCTAAAAATCATTCCGAATGTATTATACCTTTATTAAAATAGTACTTAGAATTTTCTGGATTTTTCTAAATAGCTGAATTATAATTTTCCAAGGCTTCTTCAAATCTGTTCATATTATTTAATGTATCAGCTAAAAAATCATTCTGATTGTAATATACCTTTATTAAAATAGTACTTAGAATTTTCTGGATTTTTCTAAATAGCTGAATCATAATTTTTTAAGGCTTCTTCAAATCTATTCATTTTATCTAATGTAATTGCTATGAAATCACTTTGATTTTATTATACCTTTGTTAAAATAATAGTCAGACTCTTCTGGATTTCTCTAAATTGCTGCATCATAATTTTCCAAAGCTTCTTCAAATCTGTTTATTGTCTATAAGGTATTTGCTCAAAAATTGTCAAATTTAATTATACCTTTAATATAGTAAAGTGTCTATTCATCTTTATTTTTCTTAATCGCTGAATTAATTTACTCTTATATTTTTATGTTTTTCTCTTCATTAAATTTTCTTATTTTTCTTATTACTTTCATTTTTTCTATTTTCTTTATTTCTATTTTTGTAATTTTTTCTCCTTCAGTTACAACCCTCTCTTAATTACACATACATAAACTTTATGTAATTATTAATGCTTCCTCTTGAAAAATGTTGATTGATTGTTTTGTTAATTTTAAAATTACAAAAACAATATACATGAAACTTGCTTCCTTTAAACTTTATACATACTTATTTAAGAATTTGTTGATTCCTGAAAATATTCCATATTTAATTAATAAATATTATTGAAATTCTCAAGTAATACATCTATATTTGATCATTTTTTGATATCCAAAAGAAAGATTAAATTGGATCGATAAATAAATATCATCACTAATGAAAAAGGCTGAGAGAATTATCTCATGTATTTTAGTTTGATATTTGATACGCTAAAAAATAGTACCTGAAATTTTCAATGATTATAAAATTTGTATAAATATTCAATTATATAAATAACAAGATATTTATCTTATTTACAATTTTAAAATCAAAATTTATGAGCAGCTTTATGGTATAACTTTCTTATTTAAAAACTACTTAACCGCTAAATTAGAATCTATTAATTTAAAAATACTTGAAATTAGGATTAATACTTATTAAATTAGTAGCTTCAAAAAAGGTAGAGATTGTTAATATAAATTTATAATTTAATGATTGATACCACAAATTGTAGAGAATTTCTGAAAATGATTAATATTTTTCATAAATTAAAATAATTACTCTGCCTACCTCTTAAGGTGTCAACATAGTGGTATCAGAAACTGAATATCATTCAAAAATGAATAAATTCAATCAATGTGCGGAGCATCATTTTCTTATGATTGCTCTAGTTTGTATCACTTCTTCCTCAAATTCGGCTGAACCTCTTTATTGAAATCTAATTTTTTTTGTACTTCAATTATAAGCCATTATGAATACTGTTTGAATTGAACTGCATTTTGTGTTGCAAATTGTTGAGCATATGTAAATGCAGACAATACTTATTTCCAGGGTTTATGACTTCATCTTCAATAATTATGCAATAGCATTATCTTATTTAAATAGCAGAATTAGCTATATCATTTCAATCGTTTTTGAAATCTAGTAACTAATCTTCTGTAACTTTAACTAATTCTGAATTTTTTTAATTTGCCTATGTTGTTCACTAATGGTTATTAATATCCACTTAAGATATATAGGTTATAAATGTTAAAGTGGTAGTAGTAAAACTATCCTTTAAATCATGCACAAAATATTTGGAATAAAGGAATTGCGTCAAAAATGTAATAATTTTAGTTACTTGTAATGTAGGAACATACTTAAATAATAATAATGCAGGTGCTGAATCTGCATCAGCCTTTGCTACTTGCAACTTATTTAGCCGCATCCATTCGATCTTTAGTTATGATGTTATCATGTTGATAATACATATTTCCAAATTGAGTATTGATAATCCTTTCAATTCATATTTCAATCGTCGTGTCTAGTTTAGCTTAAGCAGTTTATATCTGAAGCTATCTATTTGTGATCTCGGTATGGCGTCTTATGCTGATTGTGCGGATAGTGAAGAGAAATACCAAAGATTATTCGGAATGTATTTCTTACTACTCTTGCTAAACTCCACCTTACACTTACTACTATTTTGATTTTCATAAATGATTATAACGCTTATTTAAAAAAATTAATCGCATGATGCTCGTCCATGTACTAATAGTCCTACAAATTAGACTGCTTGAAATTCTGCTACAACATGTATAGATTGTATTATGAATATTATTTCAATGGGATTATTCATTGTCCTAGCTGAGTGCGCTAATGTAGTGATGTTCTATNTTTGTTGATTCCTGAAAATATTCCATATTTAATTAATAAATATTATTGAAATTCTCAAGTAATACATCTATATTTGATCATTTTTTGATATCCAAAAGAAAGATTAAATTGGATCGATAAATAAATATCATCACTAATGAAAAAGGCTGAGAGAATTATCTCATGTATTTTAGTTTGATATTTGATATAACTTTCTTATTTAAAAACTACTTAACCGCTAAATTAGAATCTATTAATTTAAAAATACTTGAAATTAGGATTAATACTTATTAAATTAGTAGCTTCAAAAAAGGTAGAGATTGTTAATATAAATTTATAATTTAATGATTGATACCACAAATTGTAGAGAATTTCTGAAAATGATTAATATTTTTCATAAATTAAAATAATTACTCTGCCTACCTCTTAAGGTGTCAACATAGTGGTATCAGAAACTGAATATCATTCAAAAATGAATAAATTCAATCAATGTGCGGAGCATCATTTTCTTATGATTGCTCTAGTTTGTATCACTTCTTCCTCAAATTCGGCTGAACCTCTTTATTGAAATCTAATTTTTTTTGTACTTCAATTATAAGCCATTATGAATACTGTTTGAATTGAACTGCATTTTGTGTTGCAAATTGTTGAGCATATGTAAATGCAGACAATACTTATTTCCAGGGTTTATGACTTCATCTTCAATAATTATGCAATAGCATTATCTTATTTAAATAGCAGAATTAGCTATATCATTTCAATCGTTTTTGAAATCTAGTAACTAATCTTCTGTAACTTTAACTAATTCTGAATTTTTTTAATTTGCCTATGTTGTTCACTAATGGTTATTAATATCCACTTAAGATATATAGGTTATAAATGTTAAAGTGGTAGTAGTAAAACTATCCTTTAAATCATGCACAAAATATTTGGAATAAAGGAATTGCGTCAAAAATGTAATAATTTTAGTTACTTGTAATGTAGGAACATACTTAAATAATAATAATGCAGGTGCTGAATCTGCATCAGCCTTTGCTACTTGCAACTTATTTAGCCGCATCCATTCGATCTTTAGTTATGATGTTATCATGTTGATAATACATATTTCCAAATTGAGTATTGATAATCCTTTCAATTCATATTTCAATCGTCGTGTCTAGTTTAGCTTAAGCAGTTTATATCTGAAGCTATCTATTTGTGATCTCGGTATGGCGTCTTATGCTGATTGTGCGGATAGTGAAGAGAAATACCAAAGATTATTCGGAATGTATTTCTTACTACTCTTGCTAAACTCCACCTTACACTTACTACTATTTTGATTTTCATAAATGATTATAACGCTTATTTAAAAAAATTAATCGCATGATGCTCGTCCATGTACTAATAGTCCTACAAATTAGACTGCTTGAAATTCTGCTACAACATGTATAGATTGTATTATGAATATTATTTCAATGGGATTATTCATTGTCCTAGCTGAGTGCGCTAATGTAGTGATGTTCTATCTATACTCGTTACAATTTAGGATTCTGTTATATTACATTTATCTGATTAGTTATTTTTTTTAATTTTTAAATCAATGTTATACTTGTGTTAATAGCGTCACTAACTATATAAATAGTAACTCACGTTTAATACAAAAAGAAGCCTGCTATAATAAGTCATATGAAAATAGAATCTGTATTTTATAGTTCATTCTCTTTATTTACAGTAATAAAGTTATTTATACAATTAATCGCGCTCTTCATTCTTTATAATGGAGGTTATAATTGTTCGAGGTTTTTATAGGGTCTTGTATAGAAGATGTTGAAAATCCAAATAATTTACAAAAATTTCTTATTAGTTATTATTATGGCTCTTGTAATGCATGCTTAAGAGAGCTGAGACTTGAGTATAAAGGATTCATAAGCAGTTGAATTTACTGACTACAGTGATGCTTGCTATTTTATTTATATTTACAATTAATACTAAGTCTGCTATAAAGTTTATTATTTTTACTTGTTGGGTTAACACAACTTCATACTTTTATCAATTTTATATATAAGGTACATTTTAATGCTGTGTTCCGCCTTTAATAATTATTCTAGACTGCTATTTGTAAAGTTAATTTTTTGAAACAGCAATGATTGCGAAGCTTCAAAACAAAGTATTTAATATTAAAGTGATTGAAAACTTGAGATTCGGCTTAACATACCACTTAGTACATTTGTAGTTGCTCTATTTTTTTTAGCAATGTCATTTAGTACCTGAATTTGATAGTGCATATTAATACTTTTTCCTCTCTGATGTGTGCTAATGTTGATTTTGTAAGGCTTAAGAATTTTCAATAAAATTTTGCAGTTGATTCAGGAAATTTAAACTTAAATTATAGCAAATATTAAGGTTTTTTGACAAATTATTTTGTAGTACAAGAGCAGTTTGAGGATATTAATTCTTCAAATTTAGTTTAGGTTTTAACTCTCTGGATCATGTTCCTTCACATCTTAACCATTTAATGGCTGTAGATTTTTTTTTTAATTAACTAGAAATATGAGTAATGTAGTTTCTAGAACCCGTTTTGGTTCAACCAGGAATAGGTACTTTTTATGAAAATAGGGATAATAAAAATAACCTTCAATTAATGTTGTGAATCATGGAAAAATATCTCCACTGACGCTGCTCTTGTTCGAAGTTGATTCTGACTAGTTGAATAATGAGTAGATTTGTTATTATATTCTTCACCTATCCTTCTAATTCCAAATATTTCTTTTGAAATTCAACCTGAATTGTAAGTAATACTAATTTAACTATATGTGATTCATGAATTGTGGTATATTACTTTTTAGAACTGTAGCTCCAAGTCGAGCATGTAAATGTTTTACAGCAGAATATTAGATTTATTAAATTCTGCAAATTGGTGTTTATCCCAAGTATGAGAAAAGATACTTGTGGTAGAATCTATGGATGATAGATATTTGACTTCAATAATATTTTATTATACTCTACATATCTGTGGTATTCCAATCGCTCAAGTCATAGAGTAAATGTAATAAGCCAAGCTTAAAATAGTTGGGAGTTATATGGACCTTATGGGAACTGAATTGATAGTAACTCTTTTGATCAATGACATATATGTCGAATTATAACCAACTTAGGAAAGTGAGGTTAAATTATTAAAGACTCTCTGTGTTCTTTTGTTTCAAAATAATTAAAGCAAATAAAGGCGAATTTAAAATTAAGTATTTCACTTCATTGATAATTTCACTCTAAAATAAAAAATCTTGAACTAATTTACAATTTAACCTGTTTCTAAGGTTCTGTAAATTTAAGGAGTCTAGATCTAAGGAATATTTAATTATAATTTGCGTATGATTTTTATTAGTTGGTTTAATTAAAATTAAAATATAATATAGAATATGTATTGAAATGGTTTATGAGTTTTATAATTATAACAAAAATGAATTAGGGCTCTTAATTTTAATAGAGTTAAGATTTTAAATGTAAAGATCATCCTGAAAACCTGTTCTTTTTTGGTGTATATCAAATGATTTCAAGGAGAATCAAATTTTCTCTCTGAATTGTCAAAAATAGAATATACATGCTTAACATGAAAATGAAGATGTCCTCAGTATTCAAGAATTACATTAATTTTTAATTGAAAAATCAAAACTTTCTAAAGGTCATATTTCAGAATGTCAAATTTAATTCTAATCAACAATCAAATCATATGAGAATCTTATGTTTGGTCTATCACAAAAGTTTTGCGGATTAGAAGGTAAAATCAGTAAATTAAACTTTATTAAACATAAGAAGCACTTGATTCTATTGATTAGCTTTTATGAATTTAAGAATCATTTGAATACTAATTTTTAGGATTGTTATACAAATTAAAAAAAATTTAGATGATCTTTTATTAAATTAGAATTATAAATATTTTTAAGATATTGCTTTAATTTGATCATACATCCGATTTAATATTAGATCAATGATTAATAAATTAAAATTAATACTTCTGAATATCAAAAAGGTTTTAATTCATCTTTATTTTAGGTATCTCTTTACATTAGATAGACAATAAGAATAAACAATAGAAATTAATGCAATTAAATTATTTGATAAGCCATTATTAACTGAACCTTATAATGTAGAAATTATGTATTAATAAGGTTAGTAATTATTATTATTTAAGCAAATTCATTATTGAACTAATTAATAGAAAGCAATACTTAAAAGACAAAAGATCAAAGGGGAATGATCTATTTGCTCAGATGATATGTGAAGAAGGGCTCGGGAGACATGTTATGAAATATGAATGCACAAACTTTTTAAATTATACTGAAACTCAAATTGGAGTACAAGAATGCCATTATGGAAATGAATATGGAAGATTGTGAAGAACCAGAAACTTATGGTCTATAGACAATACTAAATGCCTTCTATGTTGAATCTAATATAAATTTAGTCTTTGACAAAAAGGATAGGCTAAATGGTCATAATAGGTCCAAGAAAGATTTCTAGACAGTGAAAAATGTTAAGAGATTTAATGTGATGCTGTTGGGATTAAAATCTCTGAGATAATTAATGATTTGATTATATATAAAGGAACATTAAGATTAAATTTTGATATGTACATGTGCTACCCTACCAACTTTAAGACATATTCAAATATTCTTGCTCATCAAGTGTGAATCTTGAATTACCTGGAATTTTCACAGTGACAAATAATTGAACATATAAATAAATAAATAAATACAATAAATAATAAACTTCTTGAAACAAATAAATTTTTTATATTGTTAAGCTCTTTAGTTTTTCCAAAAACTTTGTTTTTTACCAATTTTTTTGTCAACACGCTTGAAATCTATTGAAAATTGCCCTATTATATCCGTTTTTACAAGTATATTGATTCTTATATTATGTATTTTATTTACTTCATTTTCCACCAAATTACTTTTTATTATCTTCTTCTAACCTTTCTTATTCGGATTTTTTAAATAAAGTATTTTAGCTATGATTTATGAGGGCAAGTTAAAATTTTATAAAAGTAAAACATTGTATAATTCAAAAATCGATGCTATAATGATTAATCTATATCAAGATGTTGTTTTTTTCATATTCACTAATTTTTTCATAAATTTTTGGTATTTTTCAAGTAAAGTGGGCCAATACTGACATAAATCATATTGATTCTATGAATGCTGAATCAGATATGATTATGTGAAACATCAATTCAAGTGTAATATAAAAATAAATTAATGATTTTAAAATAAGGCAAGTCAATAATAATCCAGAACCACCAGTCTAACCAAATTCAAGTGTTTAATACTCCTCCCACAATTTTAGCTATTCAAGGTTGCAAGAATTAGATTTAAGATGAAGCAATAAGATTAATTTTTTGTATAAATTAATAATGCTCCGAAAACTGATCGTTTCCCATTATTAAATATTTCTGAATTGTTTACGATACCAAAGGAAACATGCAGGATGAATAAGGTTTTAAAAACTAATTGACAAGCAAAATAAGCACTTACCTTTTATATTATGATTAGATATTGCTGAGATTAACTGAAAAACATCAAAGAATTATAACGAAAAAAAGGGTAAAATAACAATCAAAATGAGTTAGGTCCCCATTGATTAACTAATGGAATATTTATGATAAACATGGGTCAATATAGTTTGCTCTATTTATCAAATAGTGCAACGATATCCCTGTTGCAAAAGAGTAATCTAATTCAAAAGTTCAAAAAATGGTTCATTAAAGTTTTCATANATATAAATTTAGTCTTTGACAAAAAGGATAGGCTAAATGGTCATAATAGGTCCAAGAAAGATTTCTAGACAGTGAAAAATGTTAAGAGATTTAATGTGATGCTGTTGGGATTAAAATCTCTGAGATAATTAATGATTTGATTATATATAAAGGAACATTAAGATTAAATTTTGATATGTACATGTGCTACCCTACCAACTTTAAGACATATTCAAATATTCTTGCTCATCAAGTGTGAATCTTGAATTACCTGGAATTTTCACAGTGACAAATAATTGAACATATAAATAAATAAATAAATACAATAAATAATAAACTTCTTGAAACAAATAAATTTTTTATATTGTTAAGCTCTTTAGTTTTTCCAAAAACTTTGTTTTTTACCAATTTTTTTGTCAACACGCTTGAAATCTATTGAAAATTGCCCTATTATATCCGTTTTTACAAGTATATTGATTCTTATATTATGTATTTTATTTACTTCATTTTCCACCAAATTACTTTTTATTATCTTCTTCTAACCTTTCTTATTCGGATTTTTTAAATAAAGTATTTTAGCTATGATTTATGAGGGCAAGTTAAAATTTTATAAAAGTAAAACATTGTATAATTCAAAAATCGATGCTATAATGATTAATCTATATCAAGATGTTGTTTTTTTCATATTCACTAATTTTTTCATAAATTTTTGGTATTTTTCAAGTAAAGTGGGCCAATACTGACATAAATCATATTGATTCTATGAATGCTGAATCAGATATGATTATGTGAAACATCAATTCAAGTGTAATATAAAAATAAATTAATGATTTTAAAATAAGGCAAGTCAATAATAATCCAGAACCACCAGTCTAACCAAATTCAAGTGTTTAATACTCCTCCCACAATTTTAGCTATTCAAGGTTGCAAGAATTAGATTTAAGATGAAGCAATAAGATTAATTTTTTGTATAAATTAATAATGCTCCGAAAACTGATCGTTTCCCATTATTAAATATTTCTGAATTGTTTACGATACCAAAGGAAACATGCAGGATGAATAAGGTTTTAAAAACTAATTGACAAGCAAAATAAGCACTTACCTTTTATATTATGATTAGATATTGCTGAGATTAACTGAAAAACATCAAAGAATTATAACGAAAAAAAGGGTAAAATAACAATCAAAATGAGTTAGGTCCCCATTGATTAACTAATGGAATATTTATGATAAACATGGGTCAATATAGTTTGCTCTATTTATCAAATAGTGCAACGATATCCCTGTTGCAAAAGAGTAATCTAATTCAAAAGTTCAAAAAATGGTTCATTAAAGTTTTCATATTGACGACTCAGATTTTAAAACAATCAAATAATTCCTCTGTAAAGGAAAAGAACTATGACATTCAAAAAGACTCCGTAATAATTACAATAGAGAAAACCTGGTTGAAAAGAATAATATGAGCGCTATCCTTTAATCTTAAGAAAAAATAATTATCTTAAATTTGCAATTAAAGACTTAATTTTTGATCTTGAGTTAAAAGTCTTGTTTATCTGAACTTTCATTCATGATCTGTTGACCTTTCAAATTATGTATACTCGTTCTAAATACTTCCTACCAGGTGTATATCCTTGTTTTTGTTTATAAAATCTTCTTTTTAAAAAATATATACAATCATCCCTTCCTTTACTTCAATCTTGGGGCAGATTATTAAGGGGATTATACAGATGTTCATCCAAATATTCCCTGAGACCACATTTGGCTTTCTTATCAAGCTAATAGTCAAACAATCTTTTCGTCATTCCTTTTTTTGGAAACAGGATTTGTGGATTTGAGTTTCACAAGAGAGAAACATCTCCAAGATGTTATCTTCTGGTCATTTATTGATTATTATCCTCACATAGTGCTCACAAATCACTCTACCTTATCTGACTTACACCCTTTTAAATTAAGTGCTATATTTATTAACTTGTTGAGGTCCTGTCGAGAGTATTTGGATATATCTTTTGGAAATGATACTGTATTTTTTAATAAAATATGTACAATGCTGACCGTAAATCGCTCTAAGTGAAATTTTATATAGGAAAGTGCCATGCATTTTCACTCAAGCTTATCGGTCAGAGTTTTAATTCAATTAAAAATATATTTGGTTGGATAAAAAGAAAATTGGTAATATTATAGTCCTCTATTACTTCTTATATTTATAAAATTAAACAAATTATTCTTGAAATCAATGATTAATTGATTGAAGAATATTGTAACAGCATATTAAAACTTCTTATTATAAAAGACATGAATGAAAATTGTATGTGAGTTTAAAAAATAATATCTAATATAGTTTATTTCTTAAATTTTTTTCTATTAAATATAATCCATCAATCATTATTTAAATTAAAGAAGAAATGTAAGAAACTTTTTGGAGATTTTATTAATTCTTTTTAGATGATTTAGAAGGCGCTAATTCGATATTAATGAAAGATTGTTCAAAACATCAGACTTAGGACTTAAGTTTAGTCTATTCCACCATGAAATTATACATAGTCCCTTTTTGTCTGTAAAGTTCTTATTCCAATTGATGGAATATCTCTTTTTTTTAAATCAACATCCACCTGCTGGCACTTTGACGGCGTTGATGTGTTGAGGGAACGCTTCTTTTCTTTTATCTAGGGTTCCTAGCTATATTTGTTCTAATCTAGTCAGCCCTTCTTCCAAAGTCTGCGATAGGCCTTACCAAACTAATTTGATAATCTTCATCGTCTGAACTATTGTTAATGATCCTTCCACAGTTATCTTTGGATATATACTCATTCCGATTACTCTTCAGTGCACAAATGTCTCTATTTTCATCCTTATATAGTCTCTGTCAGAGTTCCAACTAGGGTCTGTTAATCCATACGTGATGTAGTCCTTAATTCATAAACTAGAACATGCAAGGTTTTATCAGGTGCCTAAGGTATTAATAAAGATAGGATCTTTCTATTATTGAAACTCTCTATCGTGCTGCATAACAATACAACAATAAACATGTCTTATAGTATTTTAACAGCTTGCTGATACCTCTTTTGTAGTCTTGTTTCTCAAAATGATCAATAGTCTATCGAACTTGGCAAGTTTGCCATCATTTTCATAAGTATCTAAATCAGTTAAGGTAGCCAAAATATATTTTTGAAATAAGTGATTAGGAGATCTGATTCCTAGAAGAACTCACATATAGTTGTTACCCCAATTTTGCATAGATCACTTACTTTCAAAAAAGAAGCATATTCACCTCCTTAAATTAAAGAAATTTGGATCTGTTGGTAGACATATCGATTTTCATAAAACTAGCATTCAGAAAATGGGTAAAACGAATTAATGATTATTTAAATCTTCAAGGGTTTCAATGAAAATATATTATGACTGTAGAGAAAGATTTCAAGAGGAATAGATAGGATTAAAATCAACAAAATTAAAAACATTTAAATAACTTCAAAGTCTCTTAAATGATTCATCAAGGCTAAATTGCCATAACCTCCAAAACATCATTTTTTGACCAAAGATGCATCTAAAGAAATAGAAAGCAGACTTTCGGCTTAACTAGATAATTAATGCATCGAACTACAAATCCCATTTTAATCAAATGTCCAAAATTCGCCCAATTTAAGTACTTTTATACTAAACTAAACTCTGAGCTCATGTTGACACTTTAAAAAATCATTGGCAATTCTTATTACACAAGAAATAAAATAAAATGTGATGCTCTTTAAAAGGTCTTTAGTAATTATTGAGTTTGATTTTAAAATTACCATTTTCATCGTGATATGTCACCAGCTGACTGTCTAATAATATTTAAATATAAATGTTTTGCTCACACACCCAATGTAAGAAACAAAATAAATAAATGCTCATAATAAAGAAAGATAGGAATTAATTGAAATAAATACCTTCATCCAATACAACAAGAAATAATTAAATTTCTTCTTGGAGATGGAATATTAAATGAAAACCTGCTTAAGAAAATCATCTAATTCATATACTTCATATCGAATCAAGTCCTGTATCCTAAAAATGGAATATTATTGAAATCGTTCCTTCCTACAAGCGATTAACTGCACTCGAAACGAATTTATTGTTATAAAATACAATTTTCAAAATGGACAAAAATTTCCTACACCTGTCATATGTATTAGATCTAACTCAACTAAGCATAGTATTATAATAAAATCAGAACTAATACAGAAATAATATGATGATGTCAGAAGCACCTGTTGACAACTTACACTTTTATTTCATCTATTGCTGTTGGTTTCAAATCGAAATAAACTGACATTGGAATTAAAAAGTCATAAGATTTTCCAAAAATAATCTTTTTTGTGACATCATCTCTTGCTTAAATTATATTTCTTTTTCGAATTTTTATTAATAAAAAATTAAAACAGAGATTTTTCTTAAAGCATAAATAACTCCCTTGATATTCGAAATTTTCATTTTTATTAATCCTACACATATATTTAAGATTAATTCTTCGGCTTATTGGCTGCTCATTTTAAACTTGTATAATGTAAGTGTTATATCTAATGAAGTATAACTCTTAACTCATTCCGATGACTAATTTTTCATTTTAAAGAACCTCTCTTTACCATAAATAAAATGCTAACATTTAGTCATATAAATCATGGTAAAGGTAGTATTTTATAGTCCTGATTTGTTTCTAATTAATAAAAAATTGATTAAATTTCTGTAAATAAAATATATTATTGAAATTTCTTTAATTTTTAAATACATTTGTGATGAAGAATTATCAGAGCACAGAAAATAAATACTTTTAGACTATGATTATAAATTATCAAAGGTTAACATCAAAACATTATTATTAATAATGTTTAATTGAAATTAAAAGTCAATTAAATTTAACAGAATAATTGCAAGTCATTTAATAGAATTGCATTATTAAAATAAGCCCATCTATATTCAAGATTTTAATTAATCACAATCTTAACTAATTGATAGAATGGTTTTTTCATTTACATGTTTATTAATTATCGACCAAAAAACTGAATCATGAAAGAATGTTGCTTTAAAATATTTAGAGGAATTGAATATTTAATTATATAAATTAAGAGTAGTCAATGATATATTGACAGCATTATCCTTCCTTGCTTTAAATTATAATAAAATAACTCTATAGGTAATATTTATACTTATGTGAATTTCATATAATTAAATATTCAATCTTCTTTTATTTATAATCTATACCACCTTGCTTTAGATATGATATACCTTTTTAATAAACCAACTACCATGATTTTTTAAATTGGCTAAAATAATTTTCTAAGTATAATAACGCTAGGAAAGTATTCCAAACATCAGCTTTTAGATTTTAATGATTTTTCAAATTTTTATAATTGATTATTTATTGCATTTCTTGATCGATTCTAAAACTACCGTCTGCTAAAGCAAATGCAATTAATTTTTCATAAGTAAGGTTATCATTATCTATTTTGCCTGCCTATTTTATGTTTATTTTTTTTTACTGTTATTATTATAATTATATTTGAGTGAATTAGGTTTATTGTTATTATTTTTCAGGAATGTAAGATATTTAGCTGAATCTGTCATAGTTCTTTTAAGAGCCTCCACCTCCACAACAACTTGCTGAGCTTTTGCTCTTTTTATTAGTTTCACTATTCGTGCATTTAAGAGTCTGACACAAAAGTTCACAGTCGTTTAACATCTATTAGGATTTTTTTAAAATCAAATCTATTTCAATATCAAATTGATCTCGCTAAGATTGAACTTATTATTAAAATTAATCCTCTAAATCACAAAGGTTGCTTACAAATGCTGTTTTTGAACATAGAATTTGATTTTAAACAGATAAATCAATAATATCTTTTTAATCAAGATTCTCCTTATTAAGTTTGATAAAATTCAATTGTTGTTAATTATATTTTATTGAGTTTTCATAATAAGTTATTAATTTATAGGCTGCTAATTTATGAAAATATTCATTGTTTTAAGATTAATTCAGGCTTAAACTTACAGAATATTGTATTTTTTTTTAATTTTAGGGATCAAAACAATTTATCTTAAATTCTAGATTTTCATATTATTATTCCTTTGGAAACAGAACTTAGATTGTAAGTTCTTAATTTTTCTTTAAACAAACTATTGATTCTGGATTGGGAATAATGGAAGCTACATTAACTACATTTGATTCTAATGTAAATGCTTGTAAATACGGTGTTAATGAATCTTCTAATAGGTCAATTACTTTCTCATTTATATCTTCCTTATCGCTAACAATTTGATATTTGCCATTTCCTACTTCAGCCACACTTTTGATCAAGTATTAACTACAACCTATACCTATTCCTAATGTGTAGATTCTTGTTTGCGCTTGATTATTAGATTAAACCAATTTAATAATTGGATCAGCATCATCCTATCCATCAGTAAGCAAAAATACATTCAAAGTTGTATTTTTGGATGTGCCATAACTTTCATTGTAAACCATCTTCTTTAATGGAGTCAGTATTTCAGTTCCTCCCATGTCAGCCTACATTTTTTCAACATGTATAATTGCCTCTTCTAATAATGTTTGAGAATATTGTTTGGAGACTTTATACAACGATGAAAAATTAGTACCAAATGAAATTATGTTAAACACAGAATCTTAGGGTAAACTTTTCAGAAAAAGAATTAGAGCTTATTTAGCTTTTTTGATCCTAGATCCACTCATGGATCCACTTCGATCAATTATGAATAAGTAGTTGCCTCTATTAATTACTTAATTGTCAGCCATACTTAAACCATCTAAATATTATGTATAAGCATCGTCTAATGAAACTTCATTAAATTTTGGAATGAAGGTTAATGTAGCACAATATTTTTAATATTGTAATGCATCATTATCAGTATGACTCAAGATAGCACGAGGTAAATTAATTTCATCTGAAGAAAAAAGTAAAGTAAACTATTTGGTTGGTTCATAGTTCTCAGGAATATCTTATAATTAAAGTATTATTTTTTTTTAATTTCCCTCTGTTTGAAAACCTGAGTTATTTTTAGCATTTGTTGATTAAAGTTTATGAGTAGGAGATTTCCAAAATGTAATTGGGTATTCAAAATTTATTTCCACTTAAATTTCTTATCTAAATTCAAACCTGAAATTATTAATCTTAAATAATTGATTTAAATAGTTATGCAGTTCTTCATCATGAATGCCAATCATTTTTTAGTAATCAAAATGTACATAATTTTAATCGATAACTGGAAATAGTTCGAATTTCCAAAATTTATTAAGAAATACCTCTAGAGGGTGTATATATTCAAAAGTAATTTTCAATAATTTATTTGGTGCAAGTTATCCTATTTTCACTCTCTTTATTTATGGGAATTTTGAATCCTAATGACTATAAGCCATAGTCTTCCCTTGCTTTAGACCTTCCTTATATTCTTATTTAGCTTTCTCCTCTTCCTTTATTACACAATTAACTTTAGTTTCTCCTAATTCTACAACCATTTTTGTAACAGCGGCTTTTTCATTAATTGAAAATAAACTTTCCAGTTCTATTGGTTTAGTTTGATTATCAGTAGAATATGTTACTTCTAATTCTACAATACAAAATCCAGGTAAAATTTTGGCTGTGTACTTTGCAAATTTTAATGGTATCAATTCTTTTTTTACCAAGTCATAACATACAAACATTTTAGTATTGTTTTAGTGGTATTCTTATTTAGACTAATTTGAATGCTACGGATTATTTTAACAAAGCTTAGGTTAATATAAGTAGTTCTAATTCATTTCTTTTTATTTTATATAAATATATAAGCAAGATTTAAGGGGGAACATTATGTTAATTTCTGAGAATTTATTTTAAATTTTCATTTAAAATAACTCAAAGCTTAAAAAAATGATTTTATGGGCCAATTATTATGAATATTTTGTTCACAATCGCTATTTAATTCTATGAATTGGATATTTTTACTTAAGCGATCTTTTCTAAAAGAATAAGGAATACTTTAATTGTATATCAAAACAGGTCAAGTTAGTGAAACCTCAAAAAAACTGTAAATTTAATATTAATAATTTAGAATGGTCCTTTAAAATATATTATTTTAATCATGTTATCTCTGTTTGATTTTCTTTAGTTAACGCTATTGTTACTACTCTCTTATATCTCAATATTAATATTTTGAGGTTTATGGTGTTTGGATGAAACTTCTGTCACAATATTCAATTCAAGTTTGATTATCTGAAAAGCTTTATGTAAAATAAGATGATTTGATTTAAATTTTATAAATATAATACTATACGAGTTATTTAAGAAATCATATCCAAGAGTGTTTTTTGAATAAGATGGTAAAGATGAGTAGGTTTAGAAAAGCAAAGGAAAAATTATAAATAAAATAGGATTTTTAAGATATGTATAAACAATATCTTAACTCAATAAAGTGAAATTTTTAATATAAATAACAACTCCAATTATTCAGAAAAAAATAGTTAACTTGCCTTTTTTGAGAGACAATGGAAGTATATATGAATTTTAGGATAATTAATAAAAAAGAGCTTAAAAGAAACATAAAGATTAAGGTTTCATAGAGAAACTTATTGGCAATAGTTAGAAGAGTTAAATTAAAATATAGGACTAAGGATCATAGTCATTTCCTAATCAAATTCATTTTATATTATTTTTTAGTTATATGGCCATAAATATCAAGCAATTATGATGCCTTGCATCAATTGAATAAATTTTAGCCTTCAAAAAGTTAACTTCTCTCTTTGATTCTATATTTAAACAATAATTTCTTAATATAAATAGGATTATAAAAGAAATAAATGACAAATTTAAGGAAAGCTAGAGGATACCATCAAACCATTATGCCTTTTAAAAGCATTCAGGTCCTTTTTGGATGGCAATTTCTAGATATTCCTTTGTATAAATGTTTGTACTCTTCTATGAAAACTACTTCTGGGTTACAAAAATCCACTAAGTTTTTGAAATGTAATGCTAATAATTTAAGATCTTTATCAAGCTGTTATTAATTAGAAATGCATTGATCATTAAATTATTTTCTTGCTTCATAATTACGATTCTCCTTTTATGTGAATTGGAATATAAAATATAATTAATATTTTACAAACTCTTTTAGGAATAATTGTCTCTTAAACTGATAGTCATAATACACAATTCTCTTTTTTTTGATATAACATATAAATAACATAAAGAGCAATTCCTCATTACAAAAATAACTAGTAATCAAAAGGTTTTTGTTATGAATAATTTAATCTTTATTAGATTTTATGTTGTTCTTATATTTATAAAACAAAACTTGGAAAATTGGTACTCCATACTAAAAGTGAAATATTTTGAAACGTTCAAAAATTATAATTTACTTTTTTTCCATCAAAAATTGTTAATAAGTAGATTTAATTATCAATTAGTATCCTATTAACAGAGATTAACAAATTTATTTTAGAAAGATTAGTTTATAATAATTAAATATCAAAATATTTGATTCCTAAATTATTGCACGGCATAGGCGATATATATGTATAGATTGGAAAAATGTTAAATTAGCGCTCATTATATAATTTCTCTGTATCAACTAATATTATAACTAATGCTCATTTATTTCTCATAAGTTCTTTGTTAGAATGTAGAAGGCATTGATAGTTGTGAATATACAAATAAGATTTAAATCAATGTAAGTTAGCCCAAGATAGATATTGTTAGAATTAAGAAAAATTTCATGTTAAAATAAAATATGTCGAGTTTCTGCTTAAGTAGGAAGATGAAAAAGTTTGTATTTATTGAATATTAATATTCATTTATGTCACTGCCATGAGTAGAGATATAAATCAAAATATCACAGAAAGATAGCTGAGCTTCATAGTTGGGATCCATAGAGAGCTAATGTATTTGATGTGAAAAATCTGTTCGATTACATTTTCATAGCGAGAATATAATTGTGTTATTTCAAGAAAATTAAATTTTATGAACAAAATATTTCTACTTTAATTTATATGTTTATCATGACTATGCCATCTTTGCATAATATTTTCTATTATCATTCTAGAACATTAATTTCAAAACCTTATGATCAATTTTATATTCTAAAAATTAAATGAGCAGCGATAATGTAATTAACACTTAGGCGGGGCTCTTAAATTAATACTTTTTCTTAGATTGTTTTGCTTTAGGGCATTAAAAAATAAATTCTTATTAAAATTCCTGGATAATTCTTGATTTTCCCAATAGATATCACAATATTGACTGAGATACTAAGCACTTCCACATTAGCAATGCCAAGTTTTTAGTTGTGAAAATTAACATACACATTCGTCAGGTCATGGAAGTATTTGGCCACAATTATTCCTCTATATACTCCTCCTTCTGGTAGGTTGATAATAGACATATTTAATAAATTGACAAATAAAAACATGAATTAACTTTCTAAAAAAATATTCTATTACAAATATTTCTTAGAGTTAACCATTATTAATTCTATAATTGTTTTGGCTTAATGTTTCTGGTATAAGAAATATAATCTGCCAATTTTGAGTTAATAATAAAATTGATATCATTTGACCAACAAAATGTTGCTATTTTGTCGCAATCCCAGTTATGGATAAATAATAACATCATTCCACTGGCATATGCATCTGAAAATAAAGTGAATAAAAATATCAATTTTAAGCTGTCTTCATATTAACTATCCTTTTTAATGATAATTAGCTTAAAAATGAAAATGAGGAGGGCTTCACATTTTATAAGTATATTGAGTCATATCTATATATTTTTATCTATGGATATGGATTAGAAATTATTTTCAATTCATTTATGATTTTTAAAGGAAGATATAAATTGATTTTAATTGACAATAGATATATTTAAATAAACAATGTCTAAGAGATGGATAGACAATTTATGAAGATAATTAGAATTAGAGAATTTATATTTTAAATAAGTTAATTTTCACTTTATTATTTCTACCTTATTAACTATTCATCAAATATTTTAAGATTAAGAACTACAAATTACATTGAAATGATTTATCATCAATACCTTATCTAATTTAATATGTAAATTAGAATAAAAGTGATTCTCTGATTTCAGAATATTGTTTAATGGTATAAATTTCATGCCTAAATATTATTTATGATGCTCATTGTTTTTTAAATTAATATACTTAGAACATTTTTTAAGTAGTTTGAACCATATTTAAACAATAAATTTTGGTAAGGATCTACTCAAATATATGGTTAATAAGTGTAATAAAATACAACAGGTATCTAATTAGGTGTATGGCTGTAGGTGGTTGAGAGCCAGGAAGTACATAATAAGGCAGTATGCCCTAGAATGGAGAGCCAGGACCAAAAGAATTATTGATGGACAAGAATTTATGAGTAGGGCAGTCAAATACGAAACTTAGTCCTGTCTTATCAAATAAATCTCTAAAACTTATTTATACTTTAGTCACTCATATCATTTTGCTGAATTGTAATCCTGAAAAGTTATTCATAATTGAGTTGGTATTTTGTATTTTGCTTAAAGAGAATTCTGTCAGAATCATGTGAGAATCCCTGTCTAGAGCTAAAAGAATTAAATCCTTGAACCAAATTAATTTTTATGTAGCATTGCAACTAAGGAATCAAAGATAAGCTTTTAGATGAAAAATTTCCAAGAGAGTTAAAAGAAACGATAATCCATAATTTAAATTTATTTTTAATTTATAGAATAAGCAATATTTATTTATTGGAGTTACTTATCAATTTGGATTTTATTAAGAAGTATAGTATAGCAACTAAAATTTTTTATATTATTATTTTTTTAATTCCTCTTTAATAAGAGGCTAGCCTTAGTACCTTTTCAGTGGAATGAAAGTAGGGAAGCCTGCATTTATATATAGAATCTAACCTTACTAAGATTTAAGTATCTAGGTTCAGAGCAGGGGGTCAAACCTTCCAGCTAGGTTCTCACTTACTTTTTTTTTGATCTTTTTCTGGTATAAGTGAAGATTTAGGAATGCTGGAGATGATTGGGAGTAAATAAGAGCTTTTTGGTCAAAGTCTGTTTGTTGTAAAATAATGCTTGTTTGAAATTTCCACCAATACTTGATCGGTCAGAGTTTTTACAATAGAATACATAATGAAATTAAACCGGAGAAGCTAGCAGATTTCTGTTTCTTGATGTATTTTGAGAGCGCCTTACATAAACTTTGGATACACGTTATACTTTGTGGAGTTAAGCAATTTAAGTCCTAAATAATACTCAGAAAATTATATTTGATATTAATTGTAAAGAGAAAATAAGATAAACACAAGAATACCAAGTTTTGTTAGTATGAACTTCTTTAATATTAAAAATGACTAAGTATTATCTTATAGTATTTAAAAATCTCCTTAGGCTATTTTAAGGCAAAAATAAGGAGAACATTAGCAGGTATCTATAAGAGATTGCTAAAATTTCCACAGTAAATATCAAAAGATTGCTAATTACAAAACTAAGTTTGTGAATCCTGATTATTCTTAGCTTTTGTCCAACAATAAAGTGTTATGTATCCCCACTGTCAAATTCATTAAAACTATTTTATAAGAAATTAGGTTATTTAATAAATCATTGACCTCATGATATCTACACAAATAGTATTTCCTCCAGTCAAATCATTATTAATTTAACTTTTTTGAGGTGTAAACCTATTTGAGTATCCTTATACAGGGTTAAATTCCTAGCCTTCATAATTGCATTTTTCCATCTTCAGAAGAGGGAATTTGAAAATTCTTAATGAGTTTTATGAAAATCTAGACCCCAAAAAGGTGAACTATGTTTTTGATCTACTTGTTCAAATCTTCTGTTTAATTCCTTACAATTATCTTGTTGACTTCCTAAATTAGTTCATAAGCCTTTATTTTTCCTTTATTATATAGAGAATGTTATAACTCTTGTTGAAACATATCCTGATTTTCTCCTTGAAGATCAAATACAAAATCTTTTAAGTGAAACTCAAATTAAGAATTTCTTACCTCGTGATTAATCTTAATTATTTATTTCACAGTAAATGAGATGATTCAGGTAAAAATTAATTAATTTCGTTTCATGGAGATTACTAAGTTTTGTGAAAATTAAACCTTATTAAATTTAAGCAAAGTAAGAGAAATAAAAATTATTAAACCTTTCAAAGATCTTAAAGCCTTGTAGAAAACAAGACTCATGAAAATATTAGGTAAAAAAAATAGGATCTATATTAAATTTTTATATATATTTCTGGTTTTATTAGAGAATGATTGCCTTAACTGTAATCAACGATGAGATTTACATAAACCAGACGCATAAGTTGGTTTTGTAAATATACATAAAGTACTACTATTTCGAAATAGCTATTTGAAATTTTGAGAAAAATCAGAAGTTACGAATTAACATTTGGCTCACTCTTTGTTTTTGTCCTTTTAATAGAAGCTTTTCAATACAATTTATATCTAAAATGTGTAAATCGAATTTCTATTTCCACTCAAAAAGACATAAAAAAGTATTTGCTGCATAAGGTATTAATAAATTAACTAACATATAGTCATCAAAAGTAAATTCTCTCAATTGAGGGGTTTTTCATCTATGTGAATATGCATAATTAAGAAAGGAAAAATACTGTTTGCATTCTAAATTTTCTTTAAATATCCTTGCTCCGTTGTTGAAATCGAATTTTGAGAAATCTTAAAGCAAAATAATATCTAATATCTAAAATATTGATTTGAGCATTTAATTTGATCATGGTAAACCTTATTTCATAAAAAATAATGATTAAACTTACTTGTTTTAAAGTTCACATCCTTTATTAATACAAATTATGATATTATAATTATTGATGAAGTTATAAAATATAAATATATCAAATGAAAATTCACATACCATCTTATTCCTGGACTAAAGACCATACTTTGAGTTTAATGTTCTTCATTCTCAAAATACTTATATATTAACAAATCTCCACCTAAAGAAGTCGATTGCATACTTGTATTGAATTATTATTTATATAACCCACCAATCAATTATAATTAGTACAAGTTAGAGAACAATAAATATGTTTAGAAATCAAAATCAAAATTAATTATCTTTGATTTTCTATCGTTTAATATTTAATTTGCTGAATTAGCTAGTAAGTTGAATTTAGTTTATCTTGAAAAGATTTGAATATTTAGCATTCAACGGTAAAGTTCATCTAAATTTAACATGTATAAGCATTCAATATAAAATATTCTAGGTGCTGTGTATATTTGAGCACTGTTATTCTGAAATTAATTAAGATACAAATGATTAAGTGATCTTTAGATATCATATTCATTTTTGATCGAAAATAAAATCAATATTCGTAGATCTCTGAATTTATTATTTGACCATTGATAGTAATTTATTATGAAAAGTGTAGGAAAATTACTTATGTTTTTAAGTTAGTTTGAAAATTGAATTCTAAATTTATAAAACAAAAAATACTTAGTAATAATTTATATATTAAATTTCATTATAATCCCCAAACAATGATGGAATATTTAATTTTTTTTCTATTTTAGTGATGCAATAATAGAATAACAATTTTGATTATTATTTATGAATAATGAAGTCCATCTTATAGTTTTATTACTCACTTGTATATTAGAAGGTACAAATTTATGGTAAAATTTAGCTCATCAATTTTTTTCTTTGGGTAGTAATCTAGTATTGCATAGTTTAAATGATTTGCATAATTTAGAGACTAACTAATTAGGATGTAGTTCAAAGTTGAAGGAAGTAAGCAAATCTATTGAAGTATGGTCAGAAATTTTAGAGAACTGGGACTAGATCATCACAGATTCTAGTAATCTTTAGTAGTTAAAAATGTCATTATAATTTTATTGTGGAAAGGGTTATAATGATGGATTGTCTGGTATTCAATTTAATTTATAATTCAAGTATTCTTGCCATTCAGAAATTTATTCACAGACACCATTAGTCAAATAAGTGGAGAATCTTTAAAAATTACACCTTTTTAAAATTGGAGAAGAGAGAGTGCTCTGGAATTATAAGGATTATCAAGTTTATTAGATAAATTTGATAATGAGAATGACTTGATATTAGGGTGCAATAAAACAGAAGAATCAATTAATAGACTAATGAAAGAGTGGGAATAAGTGAAAAATTAATGTCAGAAAGGACCATAAGTAATATTCTTCAAATAAGTTAGACTATAATCAAAATTATCAAAGATAAAGCTGAAGAAATTAGAGAAATTACAAAAGAATGTTCGGGCGGTCTACGAACTATTGTTAAAATTAAACCAATAGGTGATGACGAAAAAGTAAAAATCACTGGGAAACCTGATGGATAGTGTTGGGGGTAGAAAGAAACTTAAGAACCTAGCTATCCCTCATAATAAATCCAAATAAAACAAGCCTATAGAATTCTAACAGGAGATAATTCAGACTCTTCAAACTAAATGAAGCAAGCAGAATTTAATAATCCTGTTCCTGTTTATATGGAAGAAAAGGAAAATTCATAAAACTTCATATAATATGGTTATGGATATTGGGCTAAATTTTTATTGGCATATCCTACATTCTTGCCTAATGGAAAGAATGAAGATTGGTATTTTGTTTCCAGATTGAGTTCAGATTAGTCAAATCAGGATATGATTATGGGAAGTAGAACGTTAGCTGTTTGGGTAGGTAGAGGATATTATCTTTTCACTACTTGCGATACAGAACCCCAGGATGCTAATAAATGGAAAACAGTTAATTATCCTAAAGATTTTGATGGCATTTGGACTTATATTTACTATTCTTACAGTGCTTAGTTAAAAAAAGCTGTTGCGTTTATCAAATTTGGGAGTGAGAATTTTAATACAGTTACTTTCTCAGTTTAGAATCCCTCAACAAATTGGGTCAGATTTACTATTGGAGGTAAAGATAATAATAGATATGCTGGATTTAATGGTTTATTATATTAAATCTATTTCAGTGCTGAATCAGATGTTTTCCTTGATTCTGATGATATTAGTAAGTTGTAATACTAAACATAACCAAATGATTTAATACCTAATTTAATCAATTATGAATTGGTCTCATATTTATAATATAGGGATCCTGATACAAAAGAAGTTTTTTCTATTGTTGGAACATCAAATAATCCTTAATTCCCACAAAAATATGGATTAAGTGGATGGTTCAAATGGGATGTACCAGAATAACAATAATACTGGCATATCATTTTCAGAGTTCAAATCTAATAGCCATCACATGATGGAGTGTTTGGAGATAGAACATTGGCTGCTTGGGTTGGACAAGGAGATGGAGGTGTCATTCATTTGGCAACTTATACATATACTAATTTAGAAGGTTCTGGAAATGCAAATGTAACTTAAAACATTCCACACTATAATCGATACACTGAATGGTTCTATGTTTAATTTTTTTATTCAAGACCTGAGTAGAAAGCTTTTGCTTTAATTAATTGGAAGAACTAGGCAGACTAATTAGAATATACAAATATCAAACACTTCCAAGTACCTAAGTACTTCATTTATGTAGGCAACGACAAATTATTCTCAGGATTCAAGGGTAATATTGCATCAGTCTTCTTCAATGTTGGAGAAGAACTTAAACTGCAAATAATTGGGGATTACTGGATGAGTATCTCCGAGATGATTCATCCATTTCAACAAATTTTCGATGAATAATCATTAATTCTTGGATGCTCATATTTTATTGATGGCAAATTTTTAAATTGTTTAGAGGGATGGGATTTTTTAGTTTTAAGTAATCAGTGTAAACCAATTTGTGGAGATAATTTAATTTTTGGAACTGAAGAATGTGACGACGGGAACTTAATTCCTTTTGATGGTTGCTTCAACTGCAAATTCTAGTGTGACAAAAATTGCAAAATATGTGAATTTGGAAGATGCATTTAATGTATTTTTGGTTACGATCTAAAATCTTAATATTGCTATCCTGTTTGTGGAGATGCATTGACTCTGGATCATGAAGTATGCGATGATGGCAATATTGAAAAATTTGATGGCTGTTATAAGTGCAACAATAGTTGCCAAATAGAATGTAGATTATGTGTTAATTAATTATGCTTATAATGTTAAGATGGATGGTAGTTGATAAGTAATCAGTGTTTATAAGTTTGTAATGACAATCTGTTAGCAATATTATCAATAGAATAATGCGATAATGATGATGATAATTATTGTAATGAATGTGTATAACTATGCTAAGATAATTGTGTATCATGTCATACATATAATCAATGTTAATTTTGCAGACATCCATTTGAATTGGTCAATGGAATATGTACATCTATCTGTGGAGATTCAATTGTGATCGTTGGGTTTGAATAATGTGATGATGGAAATGATATACAATTTGATGGTTGTTACCAATGTTAATTATAATGTTCATTCGGATGTATTTAATGTTAGAACAATAATATTTGTGCAGAATGCGACCCTTCACTTGCTAAACTAAATGATCGCACTATGAAATGTGAATAAATACATGAAGATACGGAATTATTTGAAGAAATTGTAGAGGTTAATGATAATTAATGTGGAAATGGTCTACTTAATAGCCTTTATGAAGATTGTGATGATGGCAATATTGAGGGAGGAGATGGATGTTCTGCATATTGCAACATTGAAACTTCATTTATTTGTACGAATGCGGAAAACTCATTAAGCCTTTGCACTTATTTAGAAACTCCATAGTTTAAATTAGAATCACTCTCTAATAAAAAAAGTTAATCATAAATTATAGAACTAAGTTTCACACAAAAGGTGAAATTGAGTACTCAACTTCCTTTTAAGAATATAACTATTTTTACAGTTTTACCAACTACAAGGTATGATATTAATATAATACCACTGGTGGAATGTTCAACAGAATTTAATCAATCTAAATATTAAATATCTATATTTTTTAGAGATCCTGTAGACAATCCAGTTCTTAGAGTTGAAATAGAGAAATCAAATATTATCAATGAATTAAATTAATATTTGGTGGATAATAGAAAAGAAATCAGTTTAGGAAATCCTTTTGTGATATCTGAAGCAACCCAATAAACAGTTTCTAAAATCGTATCTATGAATGATGCAATGATTTATTCAATGATCTCTATTTCAGGATTTGTTTTATTGACTGGTAACACAATGATGTTCTTGAATTTGTTAGATTTATTGCAATCTTTATCATATCTTAGATATATGCAATACTATTTCCCATAGCATTTGAAATAATTTCTGGATACTTATACTAAAATATCACTAGCACCAATTCTAGATTTTCTATAGGTTGATTACTTCCTATCAAAACTAAATGGCGGTACTTTGCCTTTAAAAAAAAAAAATGTATAAAGTGAGTTGAATACATATTTCCTAATGAATTCCAAAAGTTGTTATTTTTCTATTTTGCTATCTCTTTTTTCATATTGTGTATTTTGTATAATCACTAGTTCAAGAATAATATATTTGTTGAAGTATTTTGAAACAAGATTTTGGTAAAATAGTAAATACTTAAGATTTTATAGGTTTATTTAAAAGAAAATTATTAGAAAATGCCTTCTTTTGAAAATGAAGTATTTATCCTTAGGGATCTTTTAAATGTACTATTCGATTCTTCATTAATTACTATTTAGTGCTCTTCTATAGTTTCCACATTACACATTTGATTCAGCATTTGACATATTTAATAGTATTAATGCCATCATTGTGCTATTATTTATTTTTTTTTCTACCATCAAATTTTTGTCAATAAGCGCCAGGTAGATTAAAGATATAAGGAAATGGAAATATTTCTTCAATGAAAATATGAATGGATTTTGGTCGAAAAATTATAAAACATTTTAAATATATAGAGTGACATTTTATATTTTTAATATTGTAGCCTTTATGAATTACCCAGAATTATAGTCAATATTACTCTCTATGTCTTCAGCGATTTATTTGATTTACTTAATTAAGTATACTCCCCTGAGATGTTAATATGATTTCATTAAACTAATATTTAAGGAGATATTTCTTTTGATTATTACAGGATCATTTCTAATATATGGTTTCTAACTAAGCAATGAACTACTCTTATTATGCGGATGGATACATATTGGTTTATTTTCTATGATGTTAGCTTCAAGTTTAATAATTGATATGATAAATCATTTAATAAAAGCCTATGAACATTATAAAAAACTAAAACTCTAATTTGAAATTAATAAAATGCAATAATTCTATAATAATCGTTTACAGAGATTTATTTTTTATGCTCCTGAAATTGAATTAGTTTATGATAAGGAATCTAATAAATGATTGAAGAGTGTAACTTAGCTATTTCAGATGAAAATTATATCATATAATATTTATATTTTAAAATAAACATAAAATAATAAATATTAAAAATAGATGTTTAGTAAAAATGTAGAGCTCATAAATATATTCAATTTAATTTAAGAGTTAATATATAATATATAATATAGATAACTTATATTACTACTTGGTCTTCTATTACTTAGGTACAATTTCAATATAATGAAGGTTAAAAATAAAATCTTGAATATTTTATTTTCAACTATTTTTTCTAAACCACTATGCACTGAAAGAAAGTGCAATAAATAAAACATAGGATTGAGTTCCATATTTTATTATACATCTGGCTATTAATCTATAAACTATTATCCTTCCTAAATAAAAATGACTCTAACACTACTCATTTGATTTTGTATCAAAGACTATTACAATTTTTTTTAATTTTGACTGCATTTTATTCTAAAATAGATAATTACATACTTCATAAAATTAAAAAAATATGTGATGAGTTTAGGTGTTATCAAAACAAAGATAAGAAGAAACTAGCTAATAAAGGCAGCTATCTTTTTGAATCTATATTTGCTTTGATTTTCTTAAAAAAAATCTCATTCTAAGGATGATTACAGGATTGAGAATACTGAATAAACAAATGAAGAGAATTTAGTTATTAAGTATTGATACTTCATGGATTGTTAAAGTTAATGCTAAATTGAATTATGAGAGTATTTCTGAAATTCTATAGAGAAGCTTACCTTGAATTCTTTTGTTTAAACTTATTAGAATTACTTTGAGATAAGAATTTCTAAGGACCTGACTAGTTAGAACTCCTATCTTCATTTTAGAATTTTAGAAGCAAACTGTCTTAATAGAAAAGAAGTCAAAATTTGTACATAGAGACTGTGTATTTAATAGAGGTTTCTTTGACATATAATAAACTAATTTATCTTAGGAGGGCGTTTTCATGTTATTAAATAGAATAAAGAATGAAAAGATAATACTTGAGATTGGATATTCTTAAGGTTATTACTTGTACTATCTGTCAAAGTGATATCATGAATTATTATGTTTACTATTTAAAAATATAATCTGAGCAGTTATCCATAGATATTACAACATATTGATTGCAAACTATGAAGGATTGATACTATTGTGAACTATGTTGAAATAAATAAAATAAACCATCTTTATTAATATGGTTTGGAATTAGAGACTTTCCTATTCTAACTACTTAGAATTGAGTAGTTGCCATGGAGAATCAAGTAGTTTATCTTTTATTAATATTATTTCTCAATTACTATAAATGTGTTTGATTCAAAATATTTAACCCTTATAATTGAATGTTTTGAAAAATATATGATTATGTCTTATTTGTAATTTCATTTTTGGTGTGTGTTACTAAAATTAAGGAAGCCAGGAATATTGGAAACAGTGAGAAGTTATCAATCACACGCAACGAATAATGCAGTGATTAATGTAGTTCCTATTGGAAGTGAATTTTCTAAATTTACTTGCTCTTCTTTAGGCAATATATTTGAGCTGGGAAAATGAGGTGATAATTCTATTATTAATTTGTGAATAAATTTTAAAATGGCAAGTGTAAAACGCTAAATTTTTATTACTAAGATTATTGATATATTATTTTCATTTTTTAGACATTGATTTTATTAAAATTATATCACTAAAAGATAGATAATAATACTTTAGCAGGTTTAATTAAATTATAATATTGTCAAGTTTATTCCAAATTTGCCATGTTCATAATAATTATTAAATATTTGTCTTCTAATCATGAATAAGAAGCGTCTATCTAATAAATAATTTTTTAATTTAGATTTTTTTTAAATTAAATTAATAAATTAACGTATGAAAACAATTTGAATTATATTAGATAAAATTTCTCATAGCTCTGATTTTTCAAATAAAAGAAATTAATTAATTTATGATAATTTGAAAAATATAGGCATTCTCAGGAATCAAGTTTAGGCTATATTAAGTTTATTTAATGATTATATTTTCTTACAGAAAGAAAGATAAAATGATGAGTAGCTACTAAAATTTTGAGGAGATCAATGTGAAATTGAAATTAAGCTATTCTAACAAAAATCTATATACATTTGCTAATTGTGAAACATCTAAATTATTGAAAATTTCATAAAACAATTTTAAAATGAGATTTCGGTTATGCCTCTTCTTATATCTGCCTAGAAATTATGCTAATAACATTTATTTCATTTCATTTCTTCTCATTATATAATCATTATTTTATAATATTTATTACATAAATTATTTATTGTGGAATTAATATAGTGAAATTACATACACTTTTAATTATTTCAAGCTTATTTTGATAAATTTTTGTCCAACTATTGCTATTGTA